GCTCTTGGCCACGCACGTGCAAAAAAAACAAAAAAACGGGGTTTGCTCACCAAAAACGAGCCCTCGCCTCCCTCCTTACAGACCTGGATGGTTCCGGGAGCTGTGGGAACCCCGGTGCTCCCGAAGCTGAGGGGTGAGAAGCGCTTGGCACCGCGGGAAGATGTTCAGGCCCTCACCCTATACGAGGCGAATCCAAAAGTCGCTTTTCCTGTTGTCAATCCCTTCCCTCGCCTCCATCTTTTGATAACGGGCAGCAAGGGGCAATCGCTGACCTGAGATTCGTGCCTCTAATACCACCTAATTTATACAACGCCTTGTGAAAGCCTATGGGGCCACCACGGTCTTCTTGCACTGGCCCTTATTAACCATAACCAGATGTAGATGACTCTCTTTAATCATCCAATTACACTTCTGGTCTCAGACAACATTTTTCCATGAAGCAGAGAAAACTTCTTAAGGAAATTAAATGCCCATGCCACAACCACTTGGATTTATCTGTGCTCTGCAGCACCACATTGAAAAAGGAGGCGGGGGAAAGGTTAATATTTATATAAAACTTTGAAGTATTTTCAGAGAAAAATAAAAAAATTACCATTTTCTCCTGTCAACAGTGCTCTTTCATTCTAGTTGCCTTTCCCATTTATTTTTATTTTTTTTTAAGAAAAGAAAAAGAAAAATCCAGAGAGGGCAACAGCCCAGAGAAAATAAATAATATATAAAAAAGAGTGAGATCAGATATTGCTCGTATCAGTGAGAAACAGCCGGTATTACGCACGTAAGAACGGATTTTTCTCCCCCTTCTTCCCCCCCTTCTTTTTAATAAACTCTCAGTATACACATAACGTCTTTAAGAAAATGAAATCCTTTTGCTGTGGGCCACGTCGCTAGAAGAAATAGTCACCAGTGCTGTTATCAGTGCTTTCAAGCTTTAACTCTGAATCAAAGGCGACAATTAATAAAGTCGCCCCCGCCAGGAATGGAAAGGAGGAAAGCTAAATATTTGAAACTGGGTGAACAAATGTCAGGGTGTTTTTAAATAAAATCCTTTTACAGTTATCACAGCAAGCAGACCTGATATCCCTGTCTAATTCAATTTCAATTTGCGCCCCATGGGAGATAGTGAAGAAAAGGTTGCAGTGCTGTCTTTGGGTTGATATGTTCTTTTCTCCTTCAGGAAGCAGGCACGAGAGAGCAAGGGGAGGAGGGTGAGGGAAGAGGAGAAGGATTCAAATACCAGCAGAATACGATTTTTCTTTTTTCCCTCCAGCTGGATCCTTCCAGAAGGCAGATGTGATGTGGGGAATGCTGAAATGCTGATTTGTTATGAATTCACCTGGAAAACATCGCTGAGCAGGGAACTGCAGAAAGGCTGTTTGTGTGTGAATAAATGTACCTGGTGAGGGACCAGAATTCACTGAACATCGATGCCAAGAGCAACAGAGACTCCTGAAGACCACCCCACCCACACACACAAAGATATAAATTAGCTGATTGCACCAAACAACCTGATCTCTATCAAGATCCTCCTGAACAGTGCTCACAATCCTATCATCTGATTTATTTTAAGTAAAAAGGTGCTCTTAAAAAAAGAAATTAAACAAATGCACTCTTTGATCAAAGCAAAACCTACATATGAATGAGATTATTAGGAAACTGCTAGACCTCATTGTCAGGATGGGGACGAGGCTTCCACCGACACCTGGATTTCCTGGGCCACAGGGCTGAGGCTGTAGGAACAAGCCCTGTTCCTACAGCCCCAGCAAGACCTAGGAGCAAGGAAGTCCTGGAGCAAGACCCAGGTTGGTTTCAAGTCATAATAAAGATGATGTTGAGCCTGGAGACTTCAGCACACCAAAAAGAAGCCAAAAACACACTCGAAGATAGATGGCTTTTCACTTACTGTATCCAAAGAAGCAGATAGGAAGCAATAACTATAGGCACCCTATATGCCAGCACACCGTAAGCTACGGTACACAAAAGCAATGCCAAACCTCGTGCCTGCAGTCAGTGCTGCCCTGGGTATCAATGCTGGAGCCTCGATGGCACGAACACAAGCAGAAAAGACATATAAGTAGCTATCACATATTTACGTAGCATATGTGGGTCCAACTC